ACCTAGTGGTCCCAGGCTCATGGTCCACACATTGTCTCCTGCTTGTTCTGATAACGGCAGGCGGCAGTGAGAACTTTCTGCTCACCTGGCTCTGGATCTGGATGGTGCTGGTACCGCCTGGCAGGGGAATCCGTTTCACAATGACTCAGGGCTGGCTAGTTGTGTGGCAGGATCGGTGTTCCCAGGAAGGAGCTTCCTAAATTAGCCGCAGCATCTGTGGGTGCAGCGCAGTCTTGTGTTCCAACTGCAGCCTGTCTCTAGGAGATGCCTGCCTCTTCTGGAGGGAATCTCGCCTCGATTTTGGCCCCACACAGGTGATCTGGTGTTAACTCTTGCCAGGAGTCTGTGCTGGGATAAAACGGAGACTAGTGGTGGTGGCCAAGTCCACTCTGGGAGAGCTGAAATTGTGCCTCTCTTAAACCTGTGTCCCTCTCTGAGCCAGACCCATTGTGCTGTGTATGTCCTGAAAGTTTCTGAGGCCCTGTGGTCACCCAGTAAGGAGCATCAGGCAACTAAGAACATGTGCCAAGGAGAGCTGGGAGACTGCTGTCCTTTGAGGGCCTGCTATGTGCTGGCTTGTGCCTCTGTGTGTCTCTCCTGGTCCTGGCAGAGAAACCAAGCCGTGAGTGCAGATCTGCCCTCGTTCAGAACGGAAAACCAGAGGTCAGAGGAAACTTGTGGAGCCTGTTTTCAAATGGACTTTGTAACTCTGTATCTGCCTTGCACTGAGACTCTCTCCATGCAAGGGGGGCAGTGAGAATGCATGGAGGCTGCACGTCTAGAGGAGGCAGGTGCCCAGAGAGCTAAGGCGCAGCGACGCCATTGCTCAGAGAGGGACAAACAGAGTGGGACTGTGAGGCAGAGGGTGGAGAGGTTCTGGAAGCCAGAGAGTAAGACTTGAACAGGCAATGGCCGGGGGGAGACACTGCACGGCACAGGGCATGTGCACCAGAAGGGACCGCGAGTCCATGGGCTGAGTGCTCTCTGGTGGGCCCCCGGGTCCTCCAACACCCTAGGGGGCTGGGCCTGTAGTGCGCAAGAACAGGGAGGTTTGGAGAAGGCCCGGGGTCCTCCAGGGTTGGCTTGAGGTATCAGAAGCTGAGCCCCAACAGTCAGGCCTGTGACCCCCAAGCTGTGGAGGCTGGAGCATGACACAGTAAGAAGGCTCAGTGCCATGGCGTCATCTCACCAGCTAGCCTTTTCTCTATGTTCATACAAAATTAGATCCTGTCCTTTGTTTACACCAAAATTGCTTACAGTGACAAAGAACGTGGCCCACCAAGGAGGTCACCAAGTCCTCTGTCCACGGAGCCTCACTTCCTGCTTTTTCAATCTGGTGATGATTTTTTACCTTGATGATGTTCTTGGATAGCAGCGGTCCATTCGGGGATTTCAGTGCACTGATAGGTGTGCTTCCTCTCCTTCCTTCTAGGAGAACTGGTCTTTCACAATGGTTGGATCATTTTGAGTTTGTCTTTCTAGAATGATAGATGGGGTCTAGCTGCCTTCATTTGCACACGGGCATCCAGTTTTCTCGGCACCACTTATTTTTTCAATGTACGCATGTATGTGTGCTCGGGTGTGGGGATGCATGTGTGTACAGTTGCACATGTATGATATGCTGAGGTCATAAAATCTTTGGTGGTGTTCATTTTCAGGCACTTTCCACCTCCAAGGATCTCTCACAGGCCTGGGACTTTGTCAAGTAGGCTAGGCTAGCTGGTTGGCAAGCTTCCAAGGACTTCCAGCAATGTGCCTGTCTTTGCCTCCAATCTTGACATCTCTGGGATTACACATGCATCACTGGACTTGGCTTTTGTGGAGGGTGTGAGTTGGAGGGTCTGGAGGTCAGTCTCAGATCTTACACTTGTGAGACAAGAGCTTACTGACTGAGCCCCCCAGCCCCAGCCCCACTTACTAAAGAGCATCCTTGCCCACATGTGGGTTCTTGGTACCTCTGGTTGGTTATCCCTAGCTTCTTGACTGTTTAATTAGGATTCTTGTGGGGACAAAGGTGGCCACGAAGCCAGGGTCCAGTGACTTGGTTTCTACCTGGCAGAGGAGAGGTGTCTTGGTGATGACAGGAACAATTACAAGTTACTGAAGGGGGTTCTCAAGCTGTGGAGGTCTGTGATCTGTGCTACCATTCAGCATCCACTCCCACTGCCCTCCTCACAGGAGCTCTGTGGCAGCTGTGCATGGGTTGGCAGAGGCCTGGAGTTCATGTGGAGGCTGGGAGAGCAGGCACTAGGGGACCAGGAGCTGGACTCCACCTTTCCTTGGCTGCACTAAGCACTGCCCTACTGTAAGGCTCACTTGCACCCAGCTGCCCCTCCCAGCTATGGCTGAGCCTAATCTTGCCCACATCAAGGCCCATCCTCTGAACAACCCTCAGGTCCTGGTCCCAGGGTCTCACTAAGCCTGAAGAGGCCACTGACCAAGAGGCCTATATGACAGCAGCTCTCTCTGGGTTAGTCTGGGGTTTACTCCAGACAATGTGAGCCCCTAAGTGGAGTCTAGAGGGAGCTAAGCACACAGATTCCCCAGACAGCTCAGCTCTCACAGCTAGTGTGGGTACAGGCAGAGCTCCTTGCCTCCAAGTTGCAGAACTGCCTGCAGGAAAACTAGAGGCCTCTTGGCTGAAGGGAGGCCAGTCAGCCAGTCTCCCTTCTGTAATGACTTGGGGAAGCACTGAGCTGTTCCATGTAGCGGGCTGCAGTTGCCCAGCCTGTGACCCAGAAGGTCCTGGGGTGTTCTGGATATCCTGATGTCTGGGGGGCAGCTGATCTGTGATCAGTGTGAAGAGCCTTGGAAGTAGGCAGGTCTGGAGGGCCATGCCTGCCCATGGTGTCCCAAGCTCAGTTCTGGAGCTCTATCTGCCTGCTTCCAAAGCCCATCCTCTACTGCCCTGTCACAATGTCCGTGGTACCACGGTCCCCTGAATGGACCCTGGGAATGAAGCGTTTCTTTTTCAGGGCGTTAGAGATGGGAGAGCACTGCTTCCCAGATCCTGTAGACACATTGTTCTCTGGCTCCGGAGCCATCACTGGTTCCCACTGTCCACATGACACAGTCCACTCATACTGTATCTTCCAAGGTTCTGTGAGGTCGAGTCCTCCTGCTTCACCTCATAGACCCCTGGTCACCCAGATACCCCCAATTTTCTTATTTCCATTCCTCTCTTAACTTCACTTCCAAGACCCTGCAACACACTGTTCCCTCAAGTGGACTCTGTGCAACTCTGACCAGTTTCCTCTTCCGTCAAGCCTGTTTGGTCTCTCCTTCCACACCATCTTTAAACCTAGCAAGTAAGCAGTTAGAGGCACTAAACAGTGTGACCTACCAGTGGCTGGCTCCTTTCACTACAGTCTAGGTGCAAATGGCCGTCCCCAGGCTCCTCTACCCGGCTGCACCCCTCATTCCTCATCCCTCAAATCCTTGCTTCACTTACCCCTTGCATCTACAACTCTGAAATAGCTGTTTCTTGTTCATCTGCCTTTTCTTCTGGACCCGGAGCTTCCCGACCCTTCCTGGTTAAGCATCGTGTCCAGGGAACTTGAAACAGCGTGTGGTTCATAGCAGGTAGTCCGCAGTCATTTGCTGCCTGAACGGCATCTGGGGTGTTGGAGTCACAGGGGCAGGGAGCAGGGGCTAGACTGGACATGCATTGCCTGGGACTCATGGTGAAGCTTCTTGGCTATGGGTTCCAGCTAGAACTTGTCAGGGGTCAGGTTCCAGCCTCAAGGAACATCAAGAATAGCTGGGGAGGCCGCCCCCCACAGAGCTGGAACGTAAAACCCCTGGGGGAGCCCAAATTCTGGTGTTCCAGAATGCAGAGAGGCGTGGAGGAGCCCAGCCCTGGGCTTTGTGCAGGGAGAGGGTTATAAATAGAGACAAATGTTCTGGAGACAGTGTTTTCAGTGGGGCAAAATGCTGTGGACCCAGACTCTTGAGTATTCAGAACCTTGGCCCTGGTGCCTCCCTGCAGTGACTGAGGATCGGGAAGTGGGGAGGCTTCTGGCTCCAACCCAATGACATTATTTTAGATACAAAAATAATTGGAGCTCGGCACTGATTTTGTCTAGTTATGCCTCCCCCTCCTGACAAGCCCTTTGTTTATGTTTTTTGGGGTTTTGATTGTTTTTGTTGTTGTTGTATCCTCCAACTTCCCAAGTGAAAGAGCATCTGAAAAGGAAATAGTAATTTGTCTTCACAGGGCTCCCTGGCACACTCATCAGGGCTGGAAGCAGGAGGCGCGGGTGGGGGGCGGCTCTCTTCCCAGTTAGCTGGGAGATCCCCAGCTGTCATTGGCTTGGAGCTGTGAGGTCACTGAAGGGAGGTGGGCGGCCCCTCAGCTGTCCCTAGACACTCCTCCTGGGTGGAGAAGGGCAAAGCAGCTCCTCTCAGCCTGGCGGGCAGCAGGGTTGTGATCCTGGGCTGGTCTCCTGGTGCTGAGAATGGAAGATGGAGCTGGTGCCCAGAGGCAGTGATCTGAGGGCAAGGCAGAAGCCTGAAGCCCAGCCGTGCTGCCTGCCCGCCCCCCCAGAACAGTGGGCAGGAAGAAGACTTCCCTGAATGGTTCTCAGCCGTGCTTAAACATGCTTATGGCTCGGTGAACTGTGCACACCAGACAAGGGGCAGGCAACCATGTGGAGCTGGAGTAAGGACTTCCCCAGCACTGGCTCCAAGACAGGCAGGCTTTCCCTCCCACTCGGGAGTCTGACTTGAATTTACCAGCGAGGGGCTCCAGGCAGGCTTTCCCTCCCACTCGGGAGTCTGACTTGAATTTACCAGCGAGGGGCTCCAGGCAGGCTTTCCCTCCCACTCGGGAGTCTGACTTGAATTTACCAGCGAGGGGCTCCTGAGCTTCACTCTCTCCTCTTTGAAGGCGATCTTGAACTCTGGGGGGGTGTGCCAGCCACCTAACACCACATGGACCTCGAGTAGAACTGCCAGGCAGTCACGATGGTGCAAAACGTAATCCTAGTGTTTTTCCGCAGAAGACTGAGCCAGAGACCTGCTGTGGAGGAGCTGGAGAGAAGAAATATCCTGAAACGTGAGTAGCTGGAGATTCCTCTAGAGGTTTCCCTCCCATGTGCTGCGGCTACTGCTGAAATCTGAGCTCTGGTAGCCCAGCCCAACTCTGCAGGTTGGATGCTCTGGGTTCCCTTAACTCTGAGCAGGGATTCTGAAAGCAAAGGTCTTCAAGTGGCTGCATCCAGAAACAGTCCCTTCTAAAATGAAATAATAGCTCTCCTAGACATGATTAAAGACATTCCTATTCCCAGGTTTCCTTGATTAGTCGGTCCTGCAGACCCAACCCTGTAGACTGACTCCCCTCTGTGCATGTACTGAGTGACGAGCAGGGCTTCCTGGGAATTCGCAGTGGGGATCCTTTGGGCAGTAAGCATCACCGAGTCAGGAACTGTACCAGATTAGAACACATGCCTCACTTGTTAGGCCTAGAGCCTAGAAAGAATAAACAGCCAGCTCACTGGAGCAGGGAAACTTTCTGTGGCTCGGAACTTTGGTGTTGTAGGACCCTCTGCACCTCTGGCCTTAAGTTTTTCTGGTTAGGTATGTAATTCTAGTGTGTGCTGAACCCAGGTAGCCAGATCCACTGTATGGACATTTAATTAAGTCATGAATGACAGAAGTGATAAAACCCTTCTAAGGCCTTCCTTCAGTAGTGCTTTACCTGGCCAACAAAATTGAGTTTTTTAAAATATTATTTTCCAAAGACTATGTCTTCTTGGGGCCATTCAGGTGGCATGTCTTAAACTTTTTTTCTTGTCAAGTGCTATACAGTGCAGACCTGCCCCAAGTTTGCTTGTGTGTGAACATCTTTTTGAAAGTTGTGACAGTATGAGGCTGACTTGGTCCTATCAGAGAGACAACTAAGGAACCCTGGGTGCCTGTGCATGGAATGCAGCTGATTGCTCTCCTATCTTGGCCTTGGTGCCATCACTAACCCTAAAGCAATTCCCTCCTTTGTAGACTGATGAAAATAAGATAGGAATTATTTCCTTAAACGTATATATGCCATCACTAACCCTAAAGCAATTCCCTCCTTTGTAGACTGATGAAAATAACCTAAGATAGGAATTATTTCCTTAAACGTATATGGGTGACCATTATTCTGTGGCTGTGGCTAACATGCTTCATCAAGTCTATGGACAGAAGTCAAGCAGTTTCAGTTACCAAATGTTTGAAGTGTTAAAAATAAGCCACTTTTCTAAAATTCAGCCTTATAAGTCATTGATGTTATTTAAAACAGTGGTCTAGAATTGCATAAGGTTAGTTCCAGACTTGGGAACTGTGTGCTGCTGGCACAGGAGGAGAGCCCCATGGCTCAGGCTAACCAGGGCCCACTCTTGCCTTCCATTGTGGGCAGCCAGGTTCCTCCCACCTATGAGTGCTTCTAATTGTGTTATCTGCAAACCTAGATAGTGGGGCTTTAAAACAGAGCTATGCTTGTTGAGAGCTGGTTAGCAGCTGGAGCCTTCAGTTTGCAAAAGGAAAATGGATTTTCTCTGCAATGGCCATGGCAACCCACCGTAAACATGACACCCTCACCAGGGAGCCAGATTCACCCTTAGCTCAGAGGCTTTCTCAAGTGTCCTGAGCGGGAGGACTGAGGGGTTCATAGTTGCTCTGTATTTTGTTCTGTGATGATAGGTCCGCCATATGTGGAACAGTATAGAATACCACATCCTTGACACACGGGACAAGAGATGCTTGTATTACACATGTTGTTTTGATTGAATCCCAGAACACTTTCCCTTTGTGTTGCTTTCCTTCAAGATGGGGCTAATGACTAATGGCAGTGTATCTGTGAGAACACAGAGCTCGATGTATTAGTTCATAGAAAAGCCTTGGACATGGTGGCCTCTTCATATATGATAACAGGGCCCTGTCTGTGTCATGCATGAAACTCAGTACCTAGAGCAAATCTGAGCTGCTGGCTCGGTTTCCCTAGTGAAGCTGCCATGACCCTGAGGAAATGTGACATTTTAACACAAGAAAAGCAGCAAGAGGACAGACAGGAGTTCAAGCCCAGGCTTGCCTCCCCCCACTGTCCAGGTTTAATCACTGCATCAGAAGCCATAGCGCATTTGAGTGCCTAGGGAAGCGGCATGCAGAGCTGTCCAAGGTGCTAGAGTAATTTCCCAAACAATGGCTCTGGAAGTCCTTACTGTGGATCCTTTGTGTACGGCACAGGATTTTCTGGGTGGGGACATGAAATGCCTTCAAACATGCCATTCACTGGCTCAAAGAGAAAAGCCCTTGGATCTATGTAGGGTCTCAGGAAGCTGGTGTCTGACAGAAACACTTAGAAAAGAGCAGCTCAAAATGGGCGTGGTGGCGCATGCCTTTGATCCCAGCAGAGGTAGGCGGATCTCTGTGAGTTCGAGGCTAGCCTGGTCTACATAGCGAGTTACAGGCCAGCTGGGGCTACGGGGAGATCCTGTCTCAAAAAGACCAAGAAAGGGGGGGGCACTTCCAAAGAGCCGTTTTCAAACATCCTGCTGTCGTGTGCTCGGGCACCCTTGGAATGATGGCATTTTTTAGTTAAGAAAAAATCTGGGTTTTGCCCAAGATTTTTCCACAGGGAGGCTCTACTTAGTTGGTCCAGGGTCTGTTGTTCTGAAATGGGAAGAGCTTCTCTCATGTCATCAATGTCCTCTCCAGGCTGGCATGAGCTTGCATGCTGTGCCATTTGTTTCACATACTTTCTGACTGTAGCTTACGTGTTGTTCTGGTTATTGTATGGGTGTATTTTTTTTCCAAAATGTTTTAGTCTGACTGGTGCTTCTTTTTAAACTACCAGTGTACTTTAACTACTGAAGTGTACTCACAGACATTAAACACCCACATACCCAGTTCCACAAATACACCATTTGAAATGTATCATTTAAATAAAGCACGTAACATGAAACTGTAACTGTAGGTAGCAGGGTTTCCCCCTCAAACACTGCAGTTCTGCTCTGAGTGCTGGTGGGTGAGATCTATTTCCTAGGTAAAGCTCTGTGCAGTGGAGACCTGAGGCTTTATTTAGCAACAAGAATGCCAGAAATAGGACAGCATTATCTCTGCATCCCAGGGCCAAGCTTACATTACATATAGTATTTCAGCATGTTGGCCTATCTTTAGCCTCCAAAAATGGTATGAACACAACTCAGGAAGCAAAGACAACTCTGAGGGACTTTGGCCCCTTAAAAGGCACTGTTATGAAGGTATGTGTGCTTCAGCAATGGAGAAGCAGCTGGTTTGTGGGTATGCTCACATAGGAAATATGAAATTCTAGGCAAGCACATGTTGCCCAGAATCTAAAGGTATTCCATGCCTTAAGTTGACTACAAGGTACGCAAATCTATAAAATAGAAACCACACGGCTGGAGAGATGACTCAGCAGTTAAGAGCACTGGCTGCTCGTGCAGAGAACCTGGGTTTGATTCCCAGCACCTACATGGCAGCTAACAACCTCCCCTAACTCCAGTTCCAAGGGATCCAATGCCATCTTCTGGCTTCCATGGCCATTGCATGCATGGGTGCCTTTACATGCAGCAAAGCACTCATGCACATAAATGAGTTTAAAAAATTAAAAATAGAAAAAAACAGCATTGACAAGTAGCAGTTAAAACAACGGACTGATTTCCTGAGTGCCTGGCTGACATCTGTAGGTAGAATGGAGAATAGAGAGATGCTGCCCAGAAGCAAGGAGCAGTGACTAGCCAGGTTTTTCTACTGCAGAGGGCAAAAGAGAGTCTCTCCACATCACCATGTCTGTGGTTGGATTCTTTTCCCCAAGCACTGCCCAGGAGAGGATGGTCTTGGCTGTTACACACCATCATCCCTCCTAGCCTTGTGGTCTCTGCAGCCACAAGTAGACTTGAAACATGCTTCTCTAACAAGGCTCAACCTGGCTCTCTTCTCTTTCAGAAAGGAATGATCAGACCGAGCAGGAAGAAAGACGGGAAATCAAGCAAAGACTAACAAGAAAGGTATAACTGAAGCATTTTATTTCATAAATACAAAAAAATTGTCAATTAGAGGTGGCTTCGGAAGCAATTGGGATGGGTAAGGCTAGGTACCCTGTGACTGGGATTTCCCAGGCAACATGTCCATTACTGCAAAAACAGTGCCTTTCTTGACTAGCTGGTGAGGCAGCTGGAAAGGCAGTAAAACCGAATAGCACTTCTCACTTGCTAGAGGTCAGCTTGGCATTTTCGTACTCAATGTCTGAGACCCAAATATCAGTGTCTTGTTATCTTTTAGGCTTATCAGTTTTAGTCATCTCCATCTAGAGGTCCCTCAACTGTAGGAAGTATTAGCATCAATGGGCTGTATGTTGCAAATAGTCAAAATTGATGGGCTGTATTAGTGTTCTTTAAGAAAAAAAAATGTTTTATGTGTATTGCCTGCAAGTAGGTAGGTGCACCGTGTCATGCAATACCCGCAAGGACAGAAGAGGCCGTCGGATCCCCTGGAATTGGAGTTACGGACAGTTAGATGCCATGTGGGTGTTGGGATTCAAACCCGGGTCTTCTGCAAGAACAACCAGTGTTCTTAACTGCTGAGCCATCTCTCCTGCCCCATATTCTAGTTACTGTCTACTGCTATGATAAAAACACTGACCAAAACCAACCTGGGGAGGAAAGGGTTTATTTTATATCTCCCAGGTCACCGTTCATCACTGAGGGAAGATAGGGCAGAAGAAGCTCAGGGTCAGAACTCAGAGAAGGAGCTGAAGCACAGACCATGGAAAAGTGCTTAGTGACTTGCTCCTGTGACCCACGCTCAGTCTTCTTATACAATACAGGACCAGCAGTGGCACTGCCCATAGTAGCACCACCCACAGTGGGCTGGGTCCTCCCATATCACTCAAGACATTTCCCACAGACATGGCCAACCCAATAGTGGAAATTTCTCCACTGAGGATTGTCCAATTGACACCTCAAACTCATCCAGCACAAGTAGTGACTTCAAAAGCCATAGTCTGCTTTTCAGACTGAGTGCTCCTGAATTCAAGTGTTCCATTGCTACCCCCATCCTTCCCCATTCTAATGATGCTTTGTGCTGCTTGAAGCTAACAATATCCTTCCTGGTCTTCATGTAGAATGCCAGTGGTAGTTAGCATAATTGAAGCAGTAACTTTTTAAAGGAGCTTACAGAATGGTACCTGAAACTCTTAATGCCATGAAACTGAGAGTGAATTCAACCATTCCTTGACCTTATGCTACGTCAGTAGGTTGGTGTGCATACTTCTGAAAAAATTTGTTGAAAGGGAGTTATGATTTAATCCTTGTACACTATTCAACATTATGACTCACAAATTCAGTTGTTTATACATCTATGCTGTTTACTACAAGAACACAAGCGTGGCATGTGATACCTAACTATAATTATCTTTTATTTTAGCTTAATCAGAGACCCACTGTTGATGAATTAAGGGACAGAAAAATTCTGATACGCTTCAGTGATTATGTGGAAGTAGCAAAAGCGCAAGACTATGACAGGAGGGCAGACAAACCCTGGACGAGACTGTCAGCAGCAGACAAGGTATGGAAGAGTCTGTCTGGTTGGGGATGTTCCAAGACAGTGTGAGCCCTCATGTATTTGAAGTCAGCCTTATGCTGTAAGCAGATGTTGGTTTTACAAAGGTAATTCAGGGTTGAGTGTCTTCTTGTAAAGACATTTTGGGTTGTCAGTGTTAACGTGGAGTACCTGGTGAGTACCCATTCTTAAAGTTTTCTATAATTCCAAATTGACACTTGTCTTACCTGGCCCCTGGAAGGTGCACCTGAGAGAAAATGATGATAGAGCGCACTGGCCTTGAGGTACCTGAAGAGCACTAGGATGATGATGCCCTATTCATGCCATGGCACCTGAAATGGCACTACCAAGATGGCATAAAAACATCCGTTTACGTTAGAATGATTTCTGGATTATCCGATGTCAAAATTCCAAGTTCACCATAAGCTGACCTTTGCCTCACTGCTTGTTGTTCCCATTTCATTGTTCCCTAAGCCTGTGCTTAGTTCATCTATTAGTGTGGGAAGGCGTTGTCTGTCCATTACAGCACAGTAAATTCTTATTTGTCACAAAATAGTATTAAGAATGGCTGTTGATATGGAAATGTGATGATTTCTCTTAACTTTTTTAACTTTAGGCAGCAATTCGTAAGGAATTAAATGAGTATAAAAGTAATGAAATGGAGGTGCATGCATCCAGCAAGCATTTGACAAGGTGAGGTTTCTCTTTGTGTGAGCTGTACATATGTTTTTAGCAAAACCTACAGTAGCCATAGATAATTTTATATTCAACTAAAAGAATTCGTTTTTTCAGATAACTTTTTAAAGTAGAGCTTTGTGGTAAGAGGTAACATGTATGAGAACAGTATCACACAGTTCATTAGCTTACAAAGTTGTTTACCAAAATTGATCTCAAAGTAATTTTCCTGGGTTTTAATTCTGATATTCAAAATTTGTAGACTTTACCAATTCAATAGATTGCTGTGAAATTACTCTGCATCGAATCATGTTTTAAATTGATATTAACCTCTTTAACACAAGCCAGTGTTCTAACACTAACAGAGCATCCATTTCCTCAGGAACTATCTGCCAATCTCCTATATGAAGCAGCTCTCAGTGCTGGGAATGGGATGTGAAAACAGTTATGTAGGACCCTACCTAAGTAGGATCAATCGTAGACTTTCTCACCAAGATGATCATCTTACGCTAGCTTTGGGATGTGATGAAGTTGGAGGGAAAAAATTATTTCCTTCCCGTGCATATGCTTTCAGTCTGCCCCCCTTTCCCCACAGCTGTCACCAGTAATTACCTGAAAGGCATGGGGAACTTAGTCCTAATGGGGACGACTGCTAGGGCTACAAGCCTTCAGTAGCAGTTGATTTAGCCTCTTCCTCTTTGTTAAGGATGCGTAAGCCCCAAACCCAAGAAGGAAATCTTGCACAGGGACACTGCCAACTGTAGTAATAAATCCATTTTTTATTTGCCACAAAGTGGCCACTGCAATTATTTAAAAGATTTGCTCTGCAAGCAAAACCAAGAACAAATTGTAATGTACCTACTGGTTTTAGGGTAGTAAGGAAGGACAGGAGAGGGGTAAACAAATCTAGGTTTCCTCTCATGAGTAGCATAGATTATTTTTAGTTCTAATTCTTAAAGTTTAGGGAATAAAATTCTGTAAAACATTCATTGTAATGCTTATACTGCTATGAAGTAGTAGTCAACCCCATGTATGTGGATCAATTCTTCATTTTTAGTGATATGTAACAGAAGATATTTTTAAATATTTTAGATATTTAACTAAAAAGTTCTTGGTAACTTTTTAGATGAAAGAATTTTTAAATTATCCCTAAACCTGATCAGGAATAATTCAAAATTGTACTACATTTTGGAAGTTCATATCGTTTTTTACAAAGAACACTATCTTAGTCCTATGCCAGTTTATATCGTTTTTTACAAAGAACACTATCTTAGTCCTATGCCAGTTTATAGAGTATGTTATTCCTATGGACACATTAACCAACTCAAAACCCTCTTCCAGACCGACGTATCAGTCTGTTCATTGCTCCCCTGCTTCAGCAAAGGCCACAGCGTTTCTGTATACTTTTATCACTTAACTAGCAGCTTTGAAACTAAGTCGTTGGTAGTCATGAGCACTCAGCATATAACACACTTTGGGATGCAACCACGACCTGAGAGGTGGGAGTTCTGTGAAGCTGTTTAACCATAGTAGCTCCTACCTCACGGTTATATATGGAACTCAGTCTAAGAAGCTTTTTAATAGCAGCAAATTTATTTGGTGTTTTTTTAATATAACAATTTTAACAGTTCAAACTATTTAATTCTTTAATTTCTAGATTCCACAGGCCATAGAGATTTTCTTCTGAGAAGAATTTGTGTTTAATTTTTGATACCAACACTGAACATTCATCAGGGAACTTTCCTGAAGTTTAGCTCAAGACGACCTGCTGTGTTTGTGAGAAGAGCAGAACCACACCCAGGTGCAATCTTGGCCACACTTACCTACATGAGGAGTGACCCAGAGGACACACTTCTTCTTTGGTGTCTGAGGAGTGTGAACTGTTGGGGACAGTTAAGACCCAGAGTAACTCTCCCAGAAGAAAACTGTTTGCCTTTCAACCTTGTTTTACAGTTCTGCAGTATAACGGAGGATGGGCGACATGCATGTGCAGGCTCACACTCCCAGGCCTCTGACATGAGGGACATGTGACCCAGTGTCATTCAGTATTTTGTTGAAAAGACATTTTTATTCTGATTATTTGAAAACTCTTTAAGTTCATGATATATAAAGTGATTTACTGTATTATACTTTCTCTTTTTTTATATGTCTAACAAAATATACAGCTCCAACATTTTGATTCTTGTTAATTTTGTTCTTTAATTAAATGACTACTTATTGCAGGAAATTAAGTCAGGCTTTCATTTTCTTGGGGTTGGGGTGAACTCTTAGAACTGGGATATGTGAAACAAGTCAATTCTTAGGACTTTTGAACTATTTGACTCTAAACACATGAGAGAAAATGCCAACTTTTTATGTGTTCTGTAAATTATGCAGTTTATAAGGTTTGTACCTTGGAAAATCAATTACCTTTTTTCAAGTTAATTGAAACATATCAGGTATACTGAAGAATGCATTTTATCTAAAAACTTGAAAATTCTACCAAAATGAAAATTTATGTCCTCATAAAGAGTATTTTTAAGTTCACACTTGCAAGCATTATCAAAATGCCTATTATAAAAGGTTTAGCTGGAATGGAGATTATAAAACCTTTCCTCCAGCACCAAGGTGAAAAATCTAGGCACAAAGGCAGGAAGCAGGCTAAACAGTAACAAACATCCCCTGGATTAAGTATTTGCTTCTGAATAAGTGTTCTTTCAGAAATAAGCCTTCCATCCCTTCTTCACAGTACCCCAGTCACTCAGAAAGCAGAGGCTTAGAGCACACCTATAAGAAGCTCAGAAACCTGCGCTAAGCTCTGTGCTGTTCAATCTGTTTTCTGGATGCTCTCCACCCATCTGTAACAAGTCTAAATGAGGTCAAACAGTGAGATGATGGCATGGCATGAACCTGGCACATTCTCAGCATTCCGTCTTAATATTAGATGGCACTTGACCGAGTGTCCTCTACAAATCCACCACATACATTATCTCATTGCTTTCCAAGATCTTTACAACTGCTGTGGAGAAGGTGCCTGTGAAACTACTCAACACTTGTGGTGGATACTTTGTCTAAAGAGCCTTGTAATCAGTCCTGGAGACTAGCAAATGTACTACTTGCTGATATGGAGCTTTTATTTTCTATGAGAAATTAGATTCTAGCTCTACCTCTCCTGCTGTTTAAACTGTGAATCACCTGATTTTATTGAACCTGTTTCTTCGTGAAATAAAAACCTCCTTACTGGAAGTCAGATACTTAAATTTATAAGAATTTATGATAAATGCCTATGTTAGCCTGTTCCCTATTTGTGGCCAACTACCAAACCATGTTCTTTTTCTCTTTCAATCCACAGATTAGCAGCTCCTATTTTATATTTTCCTCAGTTTAAAACATCAATAGGGAGACTGGAAAGATGGTTCAGTAGTTAAGAACACTTGCTATTCTTCCAGAGGACCAGGTTCAGTTCCCAGCACCCACATGGCAGCTAACAACAATCTGTAAATGCCAGTTCCTGGGATCTGACACCCTCTTCTGGCCTCTGCAGACATTGCACACATGTGGTGCACTTACATACATGCAGGCAAAATACTCACTGCAACTGTGTCATGCAATGGAGGTCAGAAGAGGGCGTCGGGGTCCCTGGAGTTATGGACACTTGTTGTCCTCCACATGGGTGCTGGGAATCGAACTGGGTCCTCTGCAAGAGCAGCTAGTGTTCTGAACTGCTAAGCTGTCTCTCCAGCCCCATGTAACTTAGGAAGAAAAGGGTTTTATTTGGCTTACAGCACAGTTCATCATCAAGGGAAGCCAAGGCAGGAACTCAGGGAAGGGACCCAGAGCACAGGCCATGGAGCTTACTGCCTTGGTCCCTGGCCCATGCTCAGTCTGCTTTCTTATACAATCCAATCCAATCCAAGGGAGAAAATTCTCCAGTCGAGGCTCCCTCCAACCAGCCATGTCAAGTTGACAACTAAAGCTATCCAGCAAAATAGTAAAACAAATTTTTATTTTTTTGGTATATTTTTTAAAAAGTGAAGCAATTAAAAACTTTTCTGACCTGAGTAATTTTCAGGCAATTGACATGGGAAAGGCATTAAAAACACCTAAAATCTAGAGGTCCATCTTGTGGAACTCTATGGCAACTACGGATCTAAGTTTATAGTAGCACGTACTTACAGTAGTCAGTTTTTAGCTGTATGTTCCCTCGTTCTTCATAAGCAAATTTAAGTCCAGTAATACAAAATCCAATTTTAATGTAGAAATACAGGTACTGGTCAGGTATGATGGCACGCTCATGTAACCTCTCTACATGGGAGAAGTCAGGAAGATCAGAAGTTCAAGGCCAGTCTTAGTAACACAAGACTTACTTAAAAAAACAAAACCCTAATCCAATGCTGGTCCCATATCCTTCAAGTGCTCCTTTACCAAGTTCTTTATCCCTATTTTCAAAATTTTTATATGAAAATATTCCTAAAGATAAGCAACATATGAAAATTAGAGAATGAAAGTGTTTTCAAAAAGCTAATCCCTGTAAATTTCAGCTGATTATTTCTCTATATAGTGATAGGAATATGTACTATTTAATATTCAGACAAAACATGTTTTTGAAAATGACCAATGGAACAGCTACCAGTTATCAGCTCCATAGTTCTATGAAAATAGCAGTTTTATATTAATAAAAATAACATTTTAAAAATCTTTAAACTCAACTGCAAATAGCTTAAAATGTCAACAGAAATTCTAAAAGTCAGTTTTTTTTAACAGTAACAGGAAAGAGATCTGGATGTGGTATAGATATTAATTTTTAAGATACCAACATGTTATTACATATTTGCATCATACTTTCTAAGTGAAGTTTCTTCTTTTCCAAAGAAGTACACATTTACCATCACAGCACAGTTCAGGCATGTGGCTGGTCCACACTACCAGTTCCTTCCTTTCCTGCCACCTAGACTCCCTCATGAGGTTATAATGGGAAAACTTGATGTGGCACAAAGCAGTTTCAGGAAACTTCTACCATCTTACTCTTGATTTTTACATTACATGTTAGACTTGTTGACATTAATTTCCTGACATTTTATTTTGCAAAAAATTCTACTTTGTATATTCCCAAGCTTACTCTAATGCTTGATGAAATATGCCAAGAAACTTAGAAATAAGTATATGCTTATGTACATTAAATACATATGATTAGATTAACTGTCCACAGAGTGGGTGATGGTGATAGACCGGCTGAAGAACTAACTACCCTAGCAACTGTAACTTCATGCTAAGACTGAAACATAGCAAGAACCTTTGGCAAATTTCGTCTGAAAGTAAAGACTATGTGAAATCTTAAAGTCTCCTGTGAACTCAAACGATATGCTGGTCTTAAGTTGGTGTGGTCTCTGGGCTTGGCAATATCAAGATTACCATGGTAATACATAGAGTCTAGTGTCTGAATTTCTACTCTGTTGGACTAATTTAATTTTTCCTACTTCATGTCCCTTTTCCATGGACACTTCTGGTATAGGTACTACTTTTCAGCTTAATGTGGTCGAGAACATGTAAAGTCATACCAAAAGGTATCAGACTCCAGTAAGAGACGTTAAGTCATTACCTACAATGATTAGTTGTTTTGAATTTAATAGGTGTGAAATTGGGAAAAAGTGATTAGATGTACTGATTCTGTGGAGTAGCAAGAAAAACAAAGACAAAATTGTGTTTTCTTTGATGGTCTCAGTATGTTGCTCAGAATGGCTGCACCTGGACTTAAGGGGTCCCCTCCCACAGCACCACAACCTTTTCTTGTTGAGGGGGAAATACACACACACACACAAAAAAAGGAAACCACTAGTGAGGGGCTAGAGAGAGGGCTTTCCAGAAGAACTGAGTTCAGTTCCCGACACCCACGTGGGAGCTAATAACCGTCCGTAACTCCAGTTCCAGGGGATCGAAAGTTTCTTCTGGCCTCTGCAGGCACCAAGCATGCATGTGGTACACTTACACACATGCAGGCAAAACACTCATACCCACCCATAAAATTAAATAAGATTTTTTAATACAAAAGGATCTACAAAACAACTAATAAACAAAAGCAAATTCTGATCTTTAAAAATCTTCCCTCTAAAGTTTGGGTCTACAAACTGTACCCTACAGATGAGATTTAGCCAGCCCCTTTTTAAATGGCCTATATACTAATAAATGGTATTTCTAAATGATGACATCTGAAAGTTATATAAATATATACATTGTATATTCAAACTTGCTTTTTGTCACACAAATCCTAAAGCATTTATTGCATGGACTTTAATACAATGTTTGCCAATTTGGGTATTAATTTAAAACTGTATCATAGAAAATGTAGAAATGAACTGTACAGAGCAACACATCTAGCTCCTTTCTTTCTAAGTAAGCTTAAAAGTTTTAAATATCAAATCCATTCTTAAGTTTCCAGACTCAACCTAACCTACCTGACTTACAAAAACTGTATATCAAGTTATGAAAATACTAAAAATGTCTTATTGCTGTTAAATGTCAGTGTGTCATTAGTGTGACAATTGTGAATCCTCCAAATTCCTTAAAAACATTTTTTTTGGTATCACAGTGTAAATTAAAAATATATCACCTAAAGTTCAAGACAGGGTAACATTGATCTCTCAACACATCTGAATTCCTGAAAAAAAAAGTTGAATTATTTCAAAATACTCCTGAGGATAACTTTTACTTAAGGTGTTTATTTTTTAAAACACTAAAATTTAAAAATTAAAAACCACTAAAACTAACCCTGACGTCACCTTGGCCGTTTACAATCTGCTCACACGTTTCTCTGAGGGAATTACTATGGAAACATGGCAGGTTTTTCTCTTCAAGCACAAACTCCATCAATTTATTAACAAATCTTAAAATTGTAACCAATGTTAGCAACTAAATAAATTGAGGCTACATTTTTCTTCTTGACCCAGAAGTCATTTTACCATTATATTTAAATACTGGTATTAATCAAATACTCTACCACCTTGAAACAGGCAAAGGATAACAGAGCTGCTGGAATTACATTTCAAGTGTCTGACAGTATTTTTTAATTCACTGTTCATAAAACAGGATTATAATTATAAGGTAATTATATTTAAATGAAATGAGCATTTATTTCAAAACAATCTAACAAAATAGTGCAGGAATACCAGGAGCTTCGAAGTATTTGTAAGCAGTGTTAAAAATTTATGTGATACAGTTACAATCTTTGGCCATTTAGCACATTTTTAATACGCTGGAAACCATAAAAATCTCCAAGGGTCTGAAGGTACTAACCACTCAAGTAAACATTTTAAAGTAGAGCCTTTCTTCCCTTCAAAAACTGGCTAAATTTTTTATTTATATCCAAATTATGCAAATTAATATGTTGTCTAAAACTTTTTTTGGGAGGGGGGTCTTTTTGAGACAGGGTCTCCCTGTAGCCCCAGCTTGCCTCAACTACGTAGACCAGGCTGGCCTTGAACTCACAGAAATGTGCCTGCCTGTGCCTCCCAAGTGCTGGGACTAAAGGCCTGCACCACCACATCTGGCTCAAAACTGTTAATTTTACAATGTTTTATGTAATACTTTTATTAAAGAGACTAGTTTTACTGATATAGTAATTAATGTAAATTATCACTCCAAAGTAAGCTAATTCCTTTTACTGTTTGTTTACCTGAAACATTCATTCTCTAGAAAACAGTACAGGCAAAAGTTGGGTTTGGAGTTAAATTATATCCTCAGGAATAAGAAAACCTTCCTTGGAATCTGGAGGTTCTGCCACACATTCAGCTACCTGGATGATGGATATTTTTTTCACCACAAGGCTATTTTGTTATTTTTTTCAGTCATACACAAAACTAGAGTTTAGATAAAATGTGTTGACAGTAACTAGATTTCACACATTAGCACTTTCTTCATGCACCCTGAATAATGATGCCAGTCCTCTGCGTATATTGAGAAGTTCTTCTTCATGCTGTGACAAAGGGAAAAAAGCATACTTGGGGATTCATTTTACAACAACCATTTTCATAAAGATTTTATCAGTGCTCATTCCACCCAGGCCTTTAGGGTCTAAATTGAGATATCTATAGGATTCTGTGATCATTAGTAATAGCCACAATAACCGAGATCAGACTTGCAACCTTTCAAATCTCCACATCAAAAGGATTTTTTTTTTTTAGACAGGGTCTCTCCCTTTAGCCCCAGCTGGCCTTGAACTTGGTATGTACATCAGGCTGGCCTCAATCTGTTAGGGGTCTACCTGCCTCTGCCTCCTAGGTGAGTGCTGAGATTAAAGGTGTGTGCCATCATGCCTAGCTCCACATCAAAACATTGAAAGAAAAAAAATTCTAAAGTCTCAACAAGGATCAACTTATGAAATTTCTGGTTTGCTTTGTACTAGGCTAGCTTAGCTAAAATACCTTGATCTCTCCCATTTTAATATTGAAATTCTATTAAAATTTCATATGTGCTCACATATGGGTGAAGACCAAAAATAAAGTGCAGTTTAAACCTTGAGGAAATCCCTAGACAGGTTGGTGAGAAACAGGGCCTTCAGTCTTCTGGGCTACACTAAACTCCAGAACTATAGCTGTTTGTTGACTAGAATTTTACAAGTCAACTACATTTCTCTCAGGAAATGAAGTTCTATCATATAAGTGGGTAATGATTCTTCTACTGAACCAGCCTGAGTAGCTTTGTCCTGTTAAAGTGTACAGTGTTTAGAAACAGTATAAAACTAATTTCTTCAGCTAATTTTTCAATTTTCAGTAATTCTTTCTTTTGGAGGAATTTATTTATCCCTTTAACAAGGTTCCCATTATTTAAAGAGCTAAAAGATACTAGGTTCAATTTGCCCTCTCCAAACTCCCAAAGAAGAAAAACAAAATTTCTCATTTGAAAGACACATACACACCCCAGCCAGGTGAGGTAGTCCATGCCTATACCTACATAATCCCAGCCCTCTGGAGGCTGATGGATGAGGATCATGAGTTTGAGACCAGCCTGGGCTCCACACCAAGACCTTCTTTTCATTAAAACACACAAAAAGGCCCAAAAGCCTGATTACTGCATGGAAAAGCATAAACATGAGTGACTTACCATTTCCTTGAGAAGCCTGTCCTGTAGCGTTTTCATGCTTTCTTTCAAACAACACACCTGCAAATAACATAATTCCCCCATGAGACTGTCATAAAGTTCACAGCAAAAAGACAAGTCAGACTAACCAATATCAAGGTTACAAATAAGTACAAAATATACCTCAGATGTAAACACAGTTTCTTCATAACAAGAGTTAGAGTCAACAATATTTTCATCCAATGAGGTTTTCAAAGAATGAAGCCTAACAAATGAAATAATGAGCGTTAACGTTGTTCTTAATCAGGAGTTCCAATTCAATTGCTATAGTATACACAGTTATTTTCATCTATAAACTTGTTAACATAGAAATCTGACAGATTCTAGTCATTAAGGAAAAGCACACTAACCTCTGCTGTTCATTTCTGGAATATGCTCTTAACCTCTGAACCAGGGTTTCCTCAAAGTCCTAAATTTTAAAATACAAAAAAAGCTAGTTATACTTTAATAAGATTAAAAATAACAATCTAACGGAATTAAGTGTATTTCTTCTACTCTAAATTTATTTCTACTGTTCTAAATTTCGTGTGTAAACAATCTGATTATATGCTAAGAATACCGAATGTAGTATATACTTTTTCAAATTAAAAATATTAAAAGTAAAGTTTCTTAAGCTGTTGCCCATATTATCAAAGATTTTACACAGACAAGCTTATAGTGAGTAACTATACTCTAAGGAACAAGAAGCTTTATGTTAGCCTCTCAAAGTAGGAAATAAATTATTTTAAAGAGCTATACTTTTAAAACTAATTTTTAAAATATTGTTTTAATTTCTTAAAAGCACAAACCACAAGTTCTTTCTCCAAATCTTTTAATAACTGTGAATCTTTCTCAAATTTCTCCACCACATCTAGGAGAATGAGTTGGAATTTATCAAGATTCTCATCCCTATTAAAAATGAAACAAAACAAGATTAAAATTTAAACTACAGGATCTAGAGCATTCATTCACAATGTATGAAAATACAGCACTCAGAGGTTAACAAAACAGATGTACACCACAGACCTTCGCTCTCGTGCTTGATGGTTCAGTGTTTTCAGATGCTGTTGAACCAGTTTCAAAGTCTGCTTAGTAAACTCGTCCATGATTTTATGCTGGGTCTGAAAAATATTTAGTTTTTGGTTTAATATATCTTCACAAAGTAACAACCTAACCAAGGCTATGAACAAAAAGTATTTCTATAACACGAATGACTAAGAAGAACTTAGAAAAGTAAAAATTAAAAAGGCTCATAATTGCAGCATCAGTCACCAGGTAGCTAATTATATTGGTAAGGATTTGTCTAGGAATTCAATTTGCTATTTTATAAGAACACTACATTTACAGTATTTACAAAAACTGCCAATGATCATAGTTTTCTTCAAGAGGACAGCCTAATAGAATTATTGTTTTTATCATTTTTCACAGAACATACACGGAGTCACAGGCACAGAATACGTAAATCAGAGATTCTCTATTTAGACTGTCCTTGGGAAAATAAAAATTTTAAACAATTTCAGATTCTACCTTTGACTAAAAGGAAAGGGCAATCAAGAGATACAGTTGATGACATGTTAACTCTATCTTTATTTGAAAGAAGGCATGAACAAATTATCCCAAATATAGGCACGAGAGAAAAGATATGATTTCCCACCCATTATTAACAGTTAAGAACCATTTTTAGAATGCACTTCTGTCTACCTGTAGCTAGACACTCACAAACTAAGGACATAGCACAGAGCTGATGGATAGACCTGAGTGTGTAAAATACTACATTGTATAAAAGGCTACATTATGCAACTCTTACTGATAATCACCTTCACCAGATATAGAAATATGTGTCCAAAGAAGGGGCTGAGATGGTGCCTCAGTGAGTAAAGTGCTTGCAATGCCCAGCACCTACATATCAAGAGAGGCAGAGACAAGAGGAGCTATAGCACAGCCAAATGGGCAAACTCTAGAGTCAGTGAGAAATCCTGTATCACAAAAGTAAGGTGAAGAACAATTGATGTAGACACCTGACATCAATCTCTGGCCTCCACAGGCTTGTACGTGCACACATCACACAAACAAAAACAAAACAGAACAAAACGCCACACCTACACACTTTACACTTCTAAAGAAGAAAACTGGTTGGTCAGGAAGTTAAAGAATAAATCACAGGATAGCCAAAGGTTAAAATAAAAAGTAGGACAAAAGACTTAGAAATGTAAAGAATATGGATAATGAATGGACCGATACTAGAAGTGAGAGACACTCAGCTTATGGGATCGGTGTTTTATCTGACAGTTATTAAAATTTCTCACATATGTCAAGATCCATGAATGGGAATTCTGTTGGCCAAGGATGAAACAAGCCATCCGTCTAACACAAGTGCAGTATACTGTCACAGTATTGAGTATAACCTACGATTAAAAAGTGGTAACTCACATCAGTTTTCTTCTTATACACTGTGCTGACGCTATCGTAAAGCTTCTTGGTATCTAAAAAATCATGTTGGCAGTTCTCAGGAATAAAACACTCCGGTGTTAGTAACAAAGGAGAAGTTTCAAACACTGAAAAATGAAAATGATCAGCTAAAGTTAAGATATGCATTACTACAAATTTAGCTTTTCATTAGACTGAGAACAAAAATCTTCAGATCCTTTGTGTATGTACGGGTTGTGAAATCAAAAGCAGAGTTTTAATTTAAAATGAAAATATTGTTTAAAATGAAATCTTTTGATATGGCTATTAAGGCAGAAATGATAACTTTAAGGTGAAGCACTTGGTACTTTTAAAATTTATTAATAACAATGTAGAAGTAGAGTTTTTAATGACACACAAACACTTCAAGTAACTATATTTTAGTAAAATTCAAATGCAAGAAAATGATAGAACGATGTGGGGAACTCCGAGTATGTAATACCCTTACTACAACATTCATATAAAGTGAAATTTGTGATAAACTACCATCTATCTTGGACTCATCCAAAATTGTCTTTAGAAAGAGATTTGTTTTGTGGATGTCACTCAAACCCTAAGAAGCCACCTTTGAAATGACTGCACTTGGACAGGCTTCTGCCCACCTACTTTTCAAGGTATCACCTGCATCTTCCCCTTTACTCAGTCCTTTAGGAAACAAATGTGCTCTTTGTTCTTCTGCCTCTTCCACTTCACTGGAACTTAGATTATCTTCCAGGCGCATTTGTTTACAACGATGATGACTGGGGCCTTCTGAAAAAAAAAGTTAAAATACTTAAATAGTGCTACAATTCCAATTAAAAAATACCTAATATTTTCTTGCTTTAATTAAAAAGTATTTGTACTGTGCTTTAAACAGCTATGTTACATTACACCTATTTATTTCCAACAACTAAATTTAATAATATGATTTGAAATACAGAGTTTATTTACGTGTGATTTCACAGTAATTAGATATTTTAAAGCAAAGGGAGCTCTACAGACCTGATGCATGAGCGTTGTCACTGGGCCTGTCAACCCACATCTTCTCTGTTCTTTCACCAGACAATGATGGAGATGCAGCACGGCTTTCCTAAATAAATAGTAGAAATTGGAAAACGAGGAACTAAATGCTCTGGGATTCACTTCTGACCACCTTTCACAAACCCCCAAGTCAACAGATTGCAAATGCTTTTCCGATCATCTTATTTCCGTCTTTTCAGTTCATCTTTAACACTAACACAGGTGAATCTTCATGCTAAATTAACACCACTTTATCGTAATAGATTTACCTGGCTTTTCTGACACTCCCACTTTCCACTCTTGTTATTAGTGTTTTGAGTTAGGAAATGAGAGCCACAGAAAATTCTTTTTCTTCTAAGTCACATATTTCACATCTAAATTTATGTTTTACTTTTTGAATCATCTTTAAAAGTTAGTAACTTTTACTTAGATTACTATTCTTTTAAATCTGTGTGCACTCATCTACCCACTTAAGTCTAGATCAACTGCTAGCCACCCAAAAGCTATGAAATTTTATCTTCATTTCTCTCTATTTCACAGGCTATTAAAATACTTTTACTGATAGATCAATGGAATTTTCTGCTAGCAAGAAGCTCAAGCAATCAAATTCTTAATTAATAATAAAACCACAGAGTTTTCAATGTGCAACTTGGGGATTAGCCAGCTACATCCTTATGGTTTTACTATTCTCACTTTAAAAGTTTCACATTTGTGCTGGATAGCTTTAGTGTCAACTTGGCACACCTGGGTTGAGGGAGCCCCAATTGTAGAACTGCCTTCATTGGAGTGGCCTGTCCATGGGGGCATCTTCTTGATTGTTAAGTTCTGTGGGAGGGCCCAGCCCACTGTGGGTGGTGCCACCCCTGGGCAGGTGGGCCTCTGTTGTATAAGAAAGCAGGCTGAGGAGGGGCCAGGGGAGCAAGCCAGTAAGCAGCATTCCTCCATGGCCTATGCTCCAGCTCCTGCCTCCAGGTTCCTGCCCTGAGTTCCTACCTTGGGCTCCTTGATGAACTGTGACCTGGGAGAGGTAAGCTAAATAAACCCTTTCCTCCCCAAGTTGGTAGTGGTCAGAGAGTTTTGTTACAGCAATAGAGAAACAAACTAGGACAGAAATTGGTACCAAGAGTGGGGTACTGCTGTGACAGACCCGACCTTGGAGGGTTGTGGAGGTGTTTGGAGCTTTGGGCAGGAAAAGCCATTGCGGGCTCAGTTTGTTGCTGTGGAACTTGTTGCTGTGGAACAGTTATGCAGAAGAGACCAGAATCTGAAGCAAAACCTTTGCTTTACTAGGACAATTGATGCTGGTTAGCTGGGGCTGAAAAATCAGCTGTAACAAGAGACCAGCATCATTGTGGTGAAGTCTTCTGGGAGGTATTTCCTTAGAGTCAGCACACAGAGGGGACCCGAGCCTCCATCTCTAGCTGGAAGCAGGACTTGTTAATGTGTAAGAGTCTCCTGCATGGTTCTGGTATTGAAAGTGTGAAGGGGTCATGGAGAGCAGCTGAGGTTTTGTACCCCAAGAGGCCATTGGTGAAGGTGCAGCCTCAGTTTCAGTGGAGACCCCAGCTTTTTGGAGATACCAGAACAATGGGACGACCACCAAGGACAGCAGGTGTGGAATGGAGCCAGCTTGGTCTGCAAGACAAGCTGTGTGTGCTGTGGATGGCAGAGTCAGAGAAGTAGAGCTGCCAGAACCCTTTGGAGCCTAGAAGATCATGAGTGAATCCCAGATGTCCAGCCTTGAGCTACTTTGCTGGACTTTGGCTTTGCTTAGGTGTGTCTGATTCTTCCCTTTGAAACAAGGCAGTACTGGTTTTGGATTTTACAGAAGCCCACAGTTAAGAGACTTTTAAGAGACAATGGGCTTTTAAGTGTTTGGATTTTTTTTTAAGGACTGTGGGGCTTTTAAGGTTGTACTGTCCTATGTTGTGATATTAATGTTATCATCTTGGGGACAAGAATTGGAAAGGTTGTGGTTTAATAGTGATGGGTTTGTGTGTCAAGTTGACAAGGAGTCAGTTGTGCTGGATAGCTTTAGTGTCAACTTTGCACACCTGGGTTGAGGGAGCCTCAACTGGGGAATTACCTTCATTGGAGTGGCCTGTGGCCATGTCTGAGGGGCATCTTCTTGACTGTTGAGTGATGTGGGAGGGCCCAGCCCACTGTGGGTGGTACCACCCCAGGCAGGTGGGCCTGTGTTGCATTAAGAAAGCAAGCTGAGCAGGGGCCAGGGGAGCAAGCCAGTAAGCAGAGTTCTTCCATGGCCTGTGCGCCAGCTCCTGCCTCCAGGGTTTCTGTTCTGAGTTCCTACCTTGGGCTCCTTGATGAACTGTGACCCAGGAGATGTAAGCTAAATAAACCCTTTCCTCCCCAAGTTGGTGTTGGTCAGAGTGTTTTGTCACAGCAATGGAGAAACAAACTAGGACAACATTTTTCTATGATTAAGCCATTCTATATATGTTAGAAATCAGATTCTCAAGCACCAGCAATTGAACTAAGTAGTAAGTAGTAGAATTACCACTACAAACTAGGAATTTGATTCTTATAGGAACCATTTTAAGGAAACTGTAAAAATTATAGCATATTACCTCTTTTTTGCTTTGTGTTTGATTTTCAGTTCCATTTGGAGATGCGATTTCCGTAAAATGTTTCTCTGAACTATTATAGCTTATGTCTAAATAGCTGTTCCCATTTTGGGTTCCTCGTTTAAGTACCACAGAATTTACATTTTTTCTATTCACAGAAGAATTATTCTTGCTTGGAGTGTGTCTGGGCTATGAATGAATAAGACATACAGAAACCCCAAGGAAGTTAGACAACTATTCAAAACCAGAAAAAAAAATTTTGAATAATTCTAGGAAACATCAAACCAAAACTACTTAAAATTTTAGAGAATTATTAATCCAATGCTAAAATGCAGTACCCACTTAAATAGACCATTAGCTCAATGACAAGTCTCTATCAAAACCCATGGATAAAGATACATACTAGCATAGCTTTTATTCTTCAAAGTTCAAGTCACTATAATAAGAAAAGGAACACGAGAGTGCTAGAGAAAGAGCACTGACTGCTCTTGTAAAGGTCCTGGGTTCAGTTCCCAGCACCCACAAGGCAGCTAATAACCGCCTGTAACACCAGTTCCAGAGGATCTGACGCTCTCTTCTTACTTTCACAGGTATTGCATGACATGGGCCCACTACATTCAGGCAATACACTCATACACATAAAATATTAAAAAAGGAACTTTAAAAACAAGAATTGGATGGCAAATACAAAAATCCTAATAGCTCATATGATTCTTTGTATAGAAAATCTAAAAGAATGTAGGCATGCACTCTTAATAGAATTCAGCAGGATCACTGGAACTATAAGTGTTTTTATACAACAGCTCGCTCCTGCCACCCCCCCCCACAAAAAACTATCACTTCTTGGCCTTTTGGCTAAGATAAGGTCTTTAAAGGCCCAGAAAAGATAACGTGGGATTTAACTTTTTATTTTTATTTTATGTGTATGAATGTTTTGCCTTCATATACATAAGTATACCTATGTGTGCAATGCCAGTGGAGGCCAGAATAGGAAGCTGAATGTCTTGAAACTAGTTAGAAATGGTTGTTAGCCACTACGTGGGTGCTGGAAAACAAACCCAGGTCCTCTGCAAGAGCAGCCAGTGCTCTTAAAATGCTGAACCATCTCTCCAGTTCCTGAAGTGTGTGTGTGTGTTTTACACAGAGCACAAAAAAATCTGCGTAACACGTGTGAAACACTGCAAGTTTAAAACTAAAGCGGTGTGATGTTAGCACACAGTGAGGTAAAAAGGTGAGTGAAACAGCTAGACTCGCAGCTAGGCCTACGTGGTCACCACCAGGACTACAGCTGAGGTAGTTAAAGCAAATGTGAGTAGAATATTCTTTATCATTCACAGTCAAGAAGAGAGCCCAGAGAAAGTAAAACCCTAAAAACTTAAATAAAGCTAATGTCTTCATATTTGGGGTAAATAGTTTGAGCAGGATTTTCTTTCCTCACTATGCAGCCTATGGTGGCCGAGTTTTCAATCTTCCTGTCTTAGCCCCTTGAATGCCAGGACTACAGGTATGTGCCACACCTGCCTGATTGTGAAGGATTTTTTAAGCAATCTGAAAGATTAACTTCTAGTATATCATCTGTCATATTAAGGTTATAGATTCAAGTAAATGAAAAGGTAAATACAATGGTATATAACCAATACAGAAGTAATATCCAAAATACCTTAAGAGCTCTTAAATCTGTAAGACAATTAAGAACACAATTGAAAAAGCAGAAAACATCAACAAGGGCTACAGATGTAGCTCAGTGAGAGAATGCTTATCTAGTATGCACAAAGCCCTGGATTCAGCCCCTGGTACCATAAGAAAACAAAGTGGGAAAACCAGGTAATTCATTGAACAGCCAAAAAGAAAGAAAACAGACACCGTAATGGAAGTACTTACTAATGCAGCTAACTGAAAATTCAAAGATGGACAGAACTTCACATGCACCAGAAACAGAAACACTGGACAACACTCAACTTCTTTATAGCTAAAACTATGGAGAAAAGGGGTATAGAGGAGGAAATTTGAATATATGGGGTGGGAAAGAGAGGGGAAGAAAGGTGGGGAGGGAGGGAGAGACAGACAGAGAGAGAATGAATAAATGAATTACCTAGGTAAAGAGTGTAAAGGCTGCAGGAAAGTAAATGACAACAGCATATTACTGACAAAGGATCATGGGATGGTCAAGGCACTACCTGATATGCCATGGTCTTTAGAAAATGAGTCTTGAAAAGGTGCCTGTGAGGTTATCTGAGGTTGGCAGACTAGGGCTTAGACCCTCTACCTCTGCTCTAAAAAGCATAGTTAAACTCTGGCTGTGAGCCTGAGACTTTTATAGCTGTGCCAGCTCTTCAGCCCCCCAGCCCCATAGTTATATTCTAAACTGCTTGACATACTGAGAATTTTACATAGGAGTCTGCTTGAAAAGTAATTCTCTGTGAAGACTACTGGTTTGAAAACAAGGGGGTCCTTAAAACCCTCCAGGAATATAAACACATTCAGTTAAAAATGTTAGGGCGGAGGAAAACTGGTTGTATCAGCGTTTTAGATCTCTGCTATAGGTCTGTTAAACAGTAAAATAGGTAAAAAGAAAAATTTACATATTTTCTCTTTTGCTGTGCTAGGGGCTGGACCTAGGTCCATATGCATTTTAGACAAATGCACTGAGCAATACCCCCCAGGCCCTAAATTTAAGTGCATTTTGTAATCAATGGTTACCACATTGATCAAACAGCCTGACTCCGTAGGTATCAGGTACTGTTTGTGTAATCCATCCTATTTGTTTTTTCTTTACAGATGAGAAAAGTGGAGTACACAGAGATGCATTCACTTGTAAATACTAGAGCTGGCAAGCAGCACAACCAGGGTGAAAGCATAGTTCTGCTTGACTAAACTCTTGCAGTTATACTCAGTTATAATACTACACAAATTATTTTGCAATTAGCCCTATAATGGAATCATTCCTTCGAAATTATTCAAATGAAGCCATATATACAAAAGCAAAACTTTTCACAATAGTTAAGAGATGGAAGCAACCTAAGAGCCCCTCAACTGGCAAGTGGTTAACAAAAATATTTACACAATGGAGTTCTATTCAGCAGTAAAGATGAAATAACAAAATTTGCAGGTAAATGGATCAGTCTAGAAACTGTTATTCTAAGTGAAGTAACACAGACTCAGAAAAACAAAAGACGTATGTTCTCCCTCATATGTGGACCCTACCACCAAATCCTTTTAAATTCCAGGTCCTTTTAATAAGATGATGTATACAGCAGTCCCCTCTGCATGAAATAACTACCATCACAACTTCAGCTGAGCCTGATCGCACAATTGGGCTTGTGCTCATTCATTAAAGGAGGGTCAAGCAGGGTCATGGGCCCCCCACCAGATTATCCAGCCACTCTTCCCAGCCAACTGTATGTAATTTGACCCTAATCACTCTTGGCCTCCTGGATTTGGGGAGGGCTAAAGTATACAATCTGCAGAAGGCTAGGAAGAGAAGGCATGACCCATGCTGGGTAAAGACTTTCCAGTGTGCATACCCTCAGGTCATACATACACCTCAGCAACCCCTCACTTATCTCGAAGCCTTTGAGAGGGAACTGACTGATTCTAACCATTCCAATGGACTCTCATATGAACATTTGAAAACTGCCCTGTTCTGACATTTTTCCAGTTCCCTGTCTAGAGCTTGTAATGCTAATTACTCTTGCCTTTACTTCTTCACACACACACACACACACACACACACACACACACACACACACGAAAAAAGCAAAAAAGGAGCACCGATGGCAAGAAGGTATGTAAATTGGTATAGAAACATGCAAAACACAGTCTTACCCTTCATAAACATTAAGTATCTTACTTCAACTTTGAATCATAATTGAGTCCTATCTGTAATACCATTTTTAAGGATCTTTAAGCATACCTGTGTATTATAAGAAGAAACTACACATGTAATTGGATACAGGAAAGAGGAAGAACAGAGGATTTCCTTTCCATAGAACATATCTGATTTACGTTTCTATTTTTTACTCTTGAGTTCTAAACTTCCGTATACAAATCTAAACACTGTGGTAAAATGGAATGTGACTATTTTCTTTTTAGTTCACTTTGCCAATTTGTGATTTTAGTAAATTAAAGGTTATAAACTTTGAATTAGTGAAATCTGAAGTAACTGTGTAGAAGAACACAATGTATCTAAATGTAGGAAATGTATCTATTTGATGTAAGGATAAATAAAAAGACCTCCCTCTAGCACAGAAGCTGCGTGCTCTTCTCAATGCCACCACATTCTGTCTCCCAGGCCTGATCCCGTTAGGCTCACTGAGACTAGCAACTGTGTCTTGTGTGTCTTTCCCCAGACTAAACTCAGACCTTAAGAAGATGTTCAATGCATTGCATATTTGCTTAAGATCATAAGCAAATGATGTACCATTTCCAGATTCATATGATAAAAGAAAAATATATTCTTACCAAAAATGGTAGTCCTGGACTTGGTGAGCTACTTCTACCTGCACAAAGCACATTTGTCTCACGGAATCTGGGAGCATTTCTCTGACCTCCAACTTTACTGTCACTTCTTAAGAGTTCAGGTGATGCAGTTTTTGGATAAGGTGACAGAGATTTTGTTATGTAGTCATAATCCTGAGTAAAATCCCTTTCTGTTATTTTCTCTACACCTAAATTGCCCCACAATACACAAAGAAAACAGATGGAAAATATTATTGATCATGCTTTTAGAAAGGATATAAATCATTAAATCCTCAAATATTAGTCATAGATTAAAAAGAAAGATATATTTTCAATAATTTAAGCGCAAGTTATGTTTGTACTATTCTAAGAAATTGAAAATGGCTGAATTTAAGAACTTCCAAAACATTTAAAAAAAACATCTATAGTATGAGTTGAAATACAATGATTATTCTAAGTATTACCTTAAATACTTTGACATTATAGTAAATACTGTTATATATTCAAGTAATAGAATTTCAAGTAATAGAATAGAAAAGTTTTGGGAAAACAGTTGGTCTGAATCTCTCAATAAAAATGAGACATTAGAGCTGGGGAGACAGCTCAGTCCATAAAGTACTTGCTGAATAATAAATAGGAAGGCCTGAGATCAGTCTCCAGAAGCCACATAAAAAGCTGGACATAGTGATATGTGTCAGTAGTCTCAGAATGGGAACGAGAACAGAGATGGATCCCTGCAGGGAGGGGAGAAAATTTCTGAAGAACACTACCCCCAGGTTGACCTCTAGCTTCCACACACCATGTGTACACACACATACACCATTTACACACACAAAATATTAAAAATGAGAACATTTACTGGTAAAATAAATCTTAGTATAAGTAAATGCTCATTTTTCAGATCAAATTAAGGTATATTCATCTATCTTAGTTTATCTCGTTTGAAAATGGTTGAGTATTATAAAAATAAAAGGACCTTACAACTGCATTTGGGGAAACATAGGTACATTAACATTGGACTCCTGAATTTTTATTAAATTATTAATATTTGGGACTGCTGTAAAATAGCCTTAAAGGAAGAGAGAGAGAGGAGAGAGAGAGAGAGAGAGAGAGAGAGAGAGAGAGAGAGAGAGAACTGTAAGCATGCCAAAGCTCCAAGACACTCTGAGTCCACAGAATTATCACAGTATTCCTTGGACTCTTGTCAATGAATTGTAAAAAATTTTAAAATGGAAAAAAATAAGAATCTAACAGTTCCATGTTATTAAATATATCTTGCGCTAAAGCATATTAAATCATGCTTACTTACACTTTAACATAACTTATAAATATGTATTAAGTATTTTTGATATCGAAGCATTTGATATTTAGCTTCTTAACATGAAAAACTTTGATATCCTACTAACCTTGTTCTCAACTGGCAAAAAACCAGGTTACTTAGCATTTAGTTCAACTTTTAACTACCCATCTTAAATAAATCTCACAAAATTAGTCTTCAAATCATATTTCAAAGAGATACAGTAGAAAATCATTAATTTTTCCAAATCAAATCAAGAGAAATGAAATGGCACTGACATCTCATGACTTCTACAGATGATGGGCTCCCAGATACAGACAGAGAAGAGAAGTCAAGGTTATTTTCTCTCCGGTCTTTGAACTCAGATGAGTTTCTCAGCTCTTTTGATGGTTGTCCTTTTGATGCTTCAGCAAGGAAGAGTGTCTGTTGTTTGTGTGGCCGGTTCATGGTTTGGGTTCTGGAACGGATATTCTCCCCCTAAATGTATCAGTAACTTTGAAATAATGTTTGAATACACACTTGGACACAAAAATTACACTGAAATATTGCCTTGTATTACTACACAAAGGCCTAACAAGGGCCTAGGTATCAACAAGACTACTTCTTAGTACATTAGGAAACTATATTACATAGACTATAATAAATGTTATGACTTACAAATAAAATGCTGTAAGGATTCAAAGGTGATGACTGTATTCAGTTTATGGAAAACAGAATTCCTACGTTTCATTGTCCTTGAAATACCAAGAAGTTTGTGAAAGAAGATGGCGAGGGAAGACATACTTGAAATAAGAATGCTGAGCACACCAATGGCAGTTGAGAAACACAGGCCTTATGTGGAGTCACACGTTCTGCAGTTATACTGAGGAAGACTTGAAATAAGCATGGAAAGGTGTTTCCATGCTTTGGCTATCAGAAAAGGTGGAGAGTTTCAGGCTTTATTATTTGTTTTTGAGGAAGGTATGATGGGAGTGGCTTACAAGACTTATTCGACGACATATATGGGAACAGTAAAGCAGGAAGTGATAGAAAATGTGGAGATTGTACAGTCTTTAAAGTTTTCCAGGGAAGAGCTAACAAGGATACAAATAAGAAGAAATGGAGGCTTAATAAGATAAGCACAGGGTAGTAATCAGAGACCTATCTTTAGTGCCAGACTCTGTGGGTTCAAACTCTGTCTCTGCTACTTCCTATCTGTGTGACCCTCTCTTGAGCCTCAGATTCCACTTGAAAAACAGAAGGTCACAGCAGTAATTACCTATGTACTTTATCAAATTTCAAGGCTATAAATCTAAACACTAGCAAGTGACACATGGTGTTTTTTATACACACACACACATATATACACATACACATTTGTATGTGTGCTTAAAATATTTCAGTAGAGCTTAGATATTATTAATCTTAATTGTATTTATTCACCTTTGCTGGCAATTTATCTTTACATGAGTATGAAGAGTCTTGTTCACTCTCGGATTCTGAAGTTGAGAGATCTTTATAATTTTTCTTTGTTTTTGTTGCTCTTCGTGGATGTCTGCTTCTCCCATCGGGAACCATCTCATCATCCTTTTTGGTGATGTTTTTATTGAGTACCTTTAGGAGAAACTTTCTTGAATATTACTGTCAATAGTAGAGAGTCTCAGAAATATAAACCGTTTCTATAAAATGGCACAGTGATAACACATACAGTAGGTATGAAATAACCCGTTCCTATTACCTACCACCGCTTTATCTCTACTACTGAGCCTCTAAGAGCTAATATATAATCTCAAAAGTTAAGTTTAAATGAGAGAGAGAGAGAGAGAGAGAGAGAGAGAGAGAGCACTAGAGAGAGAGTTCAGGAAAGTGCTTGCTGTGTATGCAGGCACTGGAGTCCTAGTCTAAGCCAGAACCCACACTAAAAATGCAGGAATGGTGTTTGTCGTCTCAACTCCCAGGGCTGGGGAGGCAGAGACAAGTGGATCCCTGGGGTTTGTTGGCCTGCTCAAGATGGAGACAGACTGAGCCCATGGGCTCTCTGACCAGCCTAGTCAAAATGGTGGACTCCAGCTCCAGGTTCAGTATGACCTTGACTCAAGAAAATAATGTGCAGCCAGGTGAATGCCTTTAATCCCCACACTCAGGAAGCAGACACAGGTAGATCTCTGTGAGACTGAGGTCAGCTTGTAATGGTCTACATAGCTGGGGCTGCCAGCTGGGGCTACATAGTAAGACCATGTCTAAACAAAGCAGAAGCAAAAGAAAGAAACTAAGGTAGAAAAGGACGTCTCAGTGTTAACTTCTAGCTTCCACAAATTCCACAAATATCCACACAGGTGCGTATCACACACACACACAAATACACATTTTCTAATTAAATTGAATTTAAAAAAATCAACGCCTCCTGAGGAATGACACTCAAAGTTGACCCCTGGCCTCCACCTGCTCACACTTGCACATATTCACATAAACAAGCACCCACCTATATACATACACACACACACACACACACATCTAGAATCAACAGTATAAAACAGACTCAAAATGAGGACACTATGATTGAAACAACAAAAACAGAAGACCAGAGAAAAGAATGCAAAGGCAGGATAAAGGTTCAATTATAGAAAACTGATTAATAAAATGAAGACATGACAAGTTATTTTTACACAGTAAGAAGCTTTAAAAGGATGTTTGGACACAAACTTCATTTACCGTTGTAGATCTTGACTGTCTCTTTTCTAAAGATAGTCCTGCAATTCAGGAAAAAGAAGGTTAAGTGTTTCAATAGACAAGAAGCAGCCTGCACTGAAATCTTCAGAGCATTTCTGCATACATAAACTTAAAGTCCTAAGACAAGAACCAACCCCTCCCTCTCCCTAGCATTTGTGATTATTTAGCAACCCTACCTTCGTGCACCTTCAGGCCACCATGGCACAGGCCCTTTACACCCCAATCTTAGCTTTCTGCTGAAGAATGTGGCTTTCAGGTCTGACTACTTTGGGAGCATTCCCCTCCCCCTAAAATTTGTAAAAGCCAGACTATACTACATTGTAATGGGAAAGAATTCATCTTTAAACGCATCCAAAAATTTAGATGTCAGGAATTGGCAACTTACTGGGTAGCATCTGATCACACAGAACATCCCAAACCCTCTTATTCAGCTGTACACCCACTTCCCAGATAGCACCCTCCCATAGCCTCCCTCCCCCGACTAGAGCCCTTATACTGTTATCCCTGCTACTGTCCTCTGTGATGTCGGCACCCCCAGCCGTTCCCCACTACTTGTCCATCTGGTCAATCTAGTCAGCCTATCTAGAGGTCTTTGTTTTAGGAAGGTCAGCTGTTCCTCATCTAGCAGCAATTGGTTGTCAATATTCCTTTAGATAAGATTAGGGTCTACTGTTCATTTTCCCAGTTCTATGCTGGTACTATCTGGGAGTCCCTTGGGCCACCCTGGCCAACAACTCAAAAGAAGGTATCGCCTATCTGGAATTGTTGCTTGTTATGTAGCCTTTAGCTATGCATATGGACTCTTATTAAAAAATTGTATTGGCCCCTTTAATCTTTGATTATACTTTCCTTTCGGGTGTTTAAGGCCATATAGTTGGCCCAGATAAACCAATCTATTTTTGCTCTTAAGGCTGTTTGAGGATCTGTTCCTCAGGGGTCATGGGCTTGGGAGGAGCCCCTGGCTTTCTTTTACCAGTTCCACCTATGTGAAGATAAGTCAAAGCCATGAAATTTGGAGGTAAATGGATGGAACTAGAAACTGTTATACTAAGTGAAGTAACACAGACTCAGAAAAAAAAATCGACATATGTTCTCCCTCATATGTGGATCCTAGAACCAAATCCTGATAAGTGAGTATGAATCCAGACATAACTACAGGAACCAGGATAATGAAAAGGAAACAGGGAGGTAAAGGTAAAGAAAGAACCTGAAAGAGAAGAACAGTAGGAAACAGGCCTTAATAAGGAAGATATAGATAAAAACTGGGTTAGTTTAAGAGAGGAGAGAGGGAAGGTTATATAAGGATCCTAGAGGATTAAAGGGAAAGGAGGAGCTCAAGAGAGGTAGGACCATAGGAGAAGGGAATTATTAAGGGAGAAAGGGGGGAAATGGGGGCATCTTAATTGGGGAAACCATGATGGAGGGGTGAGACAATGTGAGAGATAAATAATGCTTAGCTAGTTTTAAAAACCAGAGGGAACCATGTTACTCCTACAACCTACTGACAAATTATACATAGCAGATCAAGAAATATATGTCTAGGTAAGGTTTATCTGAGAACAATCGGTCTTTGCCCAAGATTTATCTACATGACACAGTAATTAAAAGTACCAGACTGGTGGAACTAACCTTCTCGGGTGTTTAACATACTTTGAGGCCTATGCTAATTTGGTCAGAGGGTCATAAAGGAGTTTTTGCTCCTTGCCCTCCTAGGTCGACTAGTTCCAGGGGACTGTGAGCATCTCTCAAAATGTCCTGTAATGGTGGTTGGTCACCTGTCCTCTTGATCAAGGAGGCCGAGGAGACCCCACGAGATGGACTTGAACCAGTGTCCAGTCTACAAAGAGGAGGGTCAACACAGAGGAATCACTTCCTCCATGCTTCCAAGCAAAGCCAGCCATGGTTGAGCAGGACCTTTGACTAATGTTTGTCATCATTTAAAATTTTTTTGGGGACCTGAAAATGTGGAATTACCCAAGCAAATGAAACAAAGCTCATTTGGAAGAAGAGTCCTTCATATTCACGTAGCTGGTTGTTTAAACAAAGTACTTCACACGCAATTTTCTAAGTATTAGTGTTTTAGCCTCTAATGTCTCATTGGGGCTCCTGATCTGCATGTTTAGCTTTTTAAAAATATTTTATTATTTTTTAATTTTCTGTGTATGAGTATATTGCCTGCATCTATAAAATCATCTATGTTATCGAATGCACACTGAAGTCAGAAGAGGGCATCAGATCCCCTGGAACTGGAGTACAAATGGTTGTTAGGCACCATGTGGCTGCTAGGAATCAAACCTGGGTCCTCTGCAAGAGCAGCCAGTGCTCTTATCCACTAAGCCATCTCTCCAGCCCTGAGCTGCATGTTTTAAATGCACGTCTTTTACAGGAGCCTGTAAGAAAGCCCCCCGAAAGTATCTGAATCTTTACCATGATTCTCCTTGGCTTCTAACACATGACTTCAAAGTCCAGACTCTGTGACAAAGTTCAGCCTCATCTATCACTATTTTGCCACAAATATGATCTATTGCAACTACCCCAAATCTGCCTTCCATCCATATACTATGCCATCCTGTACTTCTGCTCCTTCATCTGTTTCAACTCTTACCTGTTTGAGCATTCCTCCCTTTCTAAACACATGCCAAAATCCACATTTTAAGTTCTTTTTAAGCTAACACTGTCCCACAAATCATATTTATTTTATCCTGAAATAAAATGATTACTATATGTAGGAATTATTCTTACAATATGGACATGAGCCTTTTAAAATTACTGTTTATAATGTGAACAAGCTCTCTGAGCAGTGTTCCTCTTGTGACCTAGGTGTCTGACCTTAGTCCCTCAGGATCCCTGTTGTCCCTACCAAAAATAGTGTAGGAATGTATGCATACATGCTTTACACCTCAAAGTGCTGCAAACAATGAGAGAAACTGAGTATGTGTGATATTCTAGGCCTAGGGATCAAAGGATAGGATTCCCTGATAAGATAAAGGCAGGTCCTGATGTCTACATCCCCATTCTATGCTGGAGATACCATTCCAATAATGAATGAGCGAAGCCCTTGCTGGGAAGCACAGTTTAGTTCTCAGAAACATCTGAAGAAACAGATGTTTGGCAGTTCAGGTCCACTGTTAGCCTTAGGAATGCCAAGAATCATGCTGTGTCTTTCTAAAGCATTGCTATACTGTGGCTTAGAAACACCATAAAATAAACATGTGTTCAACTCAAAAGCAGTTATCTTCCCTTAAAGGTGGAATTAAATCTGTTAACAAACTTGGGATATTGATGCTTAATTATAAAAACAGTAATTATCTCTAGCCAAAACCTATAGCTAAAACTTTAAGTAGTTCAAGAAATTTATTATCAAAAGGAGAACTCAGGAGCCATATTCTGGGAGAATACTTTATGGAAGACAAGCAAAATAACTTCTAAAAGGTTGCTTTAAAAAATGGTTTTCTCCATTTAAATGAATCCCTGAAAATATGTGCATTGGGTAAAGCAGAGAAATCAGATGAAGGCAGACAGACACAGACACAGACAAACAGACAGACACACACAGTTTAAACGACAGAGTAAACAGGCATTAGTATCAGGTTCCAAGCCTTGATTTTTGTCTAAGAATGTTGGTTTTAAGTACTTAGCAAATTTATAATAACTAGTTAACTAAATAACTGAGTCTTGATTAAATAAGTGATAACATGTCACAAGTGAAAGATTGTGGTAAACCGTATTTTATATGTCCCCAAAGTCTTATTAAAAAAGAAATTTAAGGGGCTGGGGAGGTGATTCAATTGATAAAGTGCTTGCCACACAATCATGAGGACCTGGGTTCTGATCCCCACCAACCATGTTAAAATTCAGGTGTGGCAGCATGTATTTGTAATCCTAGCACTGGAGAACTAGACACAGGATTCCTGAGTCTCCCTGGTTAGCCACCTAGCCTAGCAGAATCAGCAAGTTACAAGTTCAGTCAGAAATCATATCTCAAAAAAAGGTGGAGAGCGATCGAGGGAGATACCATTAACCTCTGGCTTCCACGCTCATATACGATACACTATACAAACAATGCTTTATTTTAAGTAGAACCGTATTAGCCAAATGATGAAAACAACTAGTATGGGATTCTGTCCTCACAAGGGAATGCTAACACCACTACAAATGATGGAAATACAGGACTAAGTAAACACTCCAGAGTATGTGAGGACCAAGGACTATAGAAAATCCTAGTTCTCAACTTATCATACTTATCAGCCAACACAGCATGTTATATAACTGTAATACCAAAATTTGCCATGTTTCTCTCAAAAGTAATTTCTTACTTGATTTTCCACTTTTCTCTCTCTTCACACTCTTACTCCTACTGTAATCCATTAGTTGTCTTTTTGCTTGTGGTTCTCTTAGCCAGCTAATGTCAGTCTTGCTGTCATCGCATCCACATTCTGTTTCACTATCACTAAAGAGAGTTTTGTGACTTGTAATCTAAAAAGAAAATTCATAAATATGTCTTATGTGTCACATACAATTAAGCTACCCTCACCCCAAATTGGAAACTACATGCTGTGTGTTGTAGATGTCTCTAGTTTGTTCAGTGCTGGGGTTCAAATCCAGGGCCTTTATTATGCTAAACAAGAGCACTACCAGTGTACCACATCCCCAGACTGAGTGTGTCCTTTTAAAATTAATGCTTTGTATGTGTCTGCATGTATTACCTGCATATGAGTGCACCTGTGTCATGCAATGTAGCTGAGGTTAGATGAGGGTGTTAGATTCCCCTGGAACTGGAGTTAAGGAAGGTTTATAACTGCCCTGTGGGTGCTGAGAATCAAACCCGGCTCCTCTGCAAGAGCAGTTAGTGCTCTTAAGCACTGGTCCATCTCTCTAGCCCCCAAATTTGTCTTTTAAAAGCATTACATGACTTTGTCATATCATCACATTGCTTGTCAAACATTGCACTGATAAAGTCAATGCTGGATCAACCAAACTCTACATCTCTGAAATACTCATTACAAAGAGATAATGCTCAGCACGGCCCAACACAACATTCTTGGTTTTCTTCACTTGAAATCCTACTCCTAAATCATCTTCTAATTGGGTATTTTCCCCAAATAAATTATAATGCATTTTATGATTCACACCAAACTGCATGAGAAATGCGCCACACTAAAATTTCCAAGGCTGTAGGAAACCCTTCCCATGTAGCTGTCCCCAGGTTGTTTCTATGCTGTCATTCACAACTAAAGCTTTGAAAATGCTGTTTTCCATGTTCTAAACTTGAAGTCACAGATGAGGCCATTTTTTTTCCAGACATTTTCTAGTAACTGTTCAGAAACTTGGAATCCTGACATTTCATTTCCAGTTGAGGGAGTGCATGTTAATTCTCGTCACTGTCTTTCACTAGCCCATCTTTAACAATCTCTGTTCTGTCTCAAACTAGAAAGAACATCAATTTTGGGGAACTTGAAGACTACAGGAGCTGTTGGAAAGCCATCTAAGCATTGCTGTTCTCTTGTGGAGTTCTATTGAAGCTGCTGTGTCCCCTTCTCATTATTACCGCTACGCAAATTAAGAGTTGTCATTTTCTGAGCCAATATGGCTCACTTTCAAGTCCTTTTACTTTGTCTCTTCAGTGCTTGCACAGGCCCACTCTCAGCATACATTTATGTTAGTTTGGTTAGACAGGGCTACTGAGTATCAATAGATGAAAACAACTTTGAGTAGTTACATTCTTTTTAAATTACTTCTATGTGTATGCGTGTATTGCCTGCCTGTAGGTAAATGCACCCGCATCATGCAGTGACTGTGGAGAACAGAAGAGGCCCTTGGATCCTCTGGAACTGGAGTTATGGACAGTTGTTAGCTGCTAT